CCTCCGGACAAACACGCGTGCACCTCCCCCGCCGCAGGCTCAACTCCACCCTGGGGCGCACGCGCTGCATCAACACGTTCCAGGGGTACAGCTGCGAGTGCGGCGCGGGCTACCTGCACATCGTCGACGGGGTGAGCTGCCGGCGCGCGCTCGGCATGCTTTGCGCGCATGCTTTGCCTGCTGTGCATGCTTCGCGCGCTTTGCATACCTGCTTCCCCTGCTCTGCCTGCATTGCCTGCTTTGCCTGCTTTGCCTGCTTTGCCTGCTTTGCCTGCTTCGCCTGCTTCGCCTGCTTCGCCTGCTTGTTTTTGTCCTTGTGATGTGTGCTGGGTTTGTCAATTGGTCTGAATTGGGGATCCTGCGTGCTCATGTGTGTGGCAAGTTGCGCGTGCGTGCATCAGGGCGGGCCAATGGGCAGCAGGGGGCAGCTGGGGCGAGGGAGAGGGGAACCAAGCCAGCTGGCGAGCGATGAAGTGGCGGCGCCCATGCATTTGTGGTGTGCTGGCTCCAGCTCACGGGGCAAAACGGGGCCTCTCCCAAAAGACGTGCCCGCAGCAAGTCACGATGGAGCATCACTCGCCGACGCGTCCACACTTCTCGTGACCCCTCGCTGAGCGGCCCCCTCCACAAGCCGTGCTGGGCGCAGAAACCACGCACCCACCACGACTCCCCTTTCCCCCACACGCGCACGCACCCCGTGCCCCCGCCCCGGCAGGCCACCGGGCAGGAGGCGTGCTCCGATATCAACGAGTGCCTTCTGAGCCGCATCCCCTTCAACAGGGGCGACTGCAGCTGCGACCGCTGCATCTGCGTCAACACGCCTGGCGGCTACAAGTGAGGAGCCGGGCTCACTATACTGCAGACTGCCGTCGATGCTGTGAGGCAATGCGGCTTCATCCACCCCTGCACCCTGACGAGTCCAAAGGGCTCCCGCGACGCACCCTTCGAACCCGAAACCCCCCTCTCATTCGGAGCTCAGCCGCAGCTGGTCGTTCACTGCTCACGGGCGCACGTTGACACCACACCTTGCGACCCGGCACGGGCCCGCTTCCCCCGTATCCGCCCCTGCATCCGAGCCCTATTGCCACCCACCCCCTCCCGCAACTCGCCCGCCGGCAGCTGCTCTGGCCCAATCCCTGACTACTGCACACCTGAGCTCGATTATGCTGGCTGCTGGCGCGGTAGCTTTGAGGGCAGGTTCTACCACGCCTGCTACGACGACATGCACACTCACAGGTGGCCCGCCTTCGCCAGCCGATGCCGCGCTCTGCACTCTTACGTCGGCCTGGCCGACGAGATGGCCAGGGACTGCGCGCCCGGTCCCCTGCTGTCCGCCGCGCACCCCCGCCGCCGGCGCCGCCGCGCCCGGGCAGAGGAGGGTCTGCAGCAGAGAGGCGCCGTGGCGGCGCGTTGCGAGCAGATGCATTGGCCGACATACGTAAAGGAGGGTGCTGCTCCAGCAGCAGTCTAGCAGTCCCCAATTCGCAAGTTGTTGAAGGTATATGCCCGCTGTTGAAGGTGTCTGCCAGCCGGACGCTGAGGAGCTGCTGATCCATCCCTCGCTGGTCCTCTCTCGATCGACAGGTACCTCGCTTCATACGGCCGCCTGAACGACCAAGTCCGCCCGTTCCGCTGCCAGTGCCCGCCCTGCTTCCGCGCGGGCCCCGGCGGCCGCGGCTGCGAGCCGGCCTGCAGCCTGGACCGGTGCGACCCGGGGCTCAAGGCCTGCCTGCCCGGCTCAACCCGAGCTGCCGGCAGCGACGGCGGCGGCGGTCACGGTGAGCGGAGCACGGGAGAGGGGGCGGCGGGCGGCCGCCGCGGCGGCGGGGTCGGGCAGCGACAGCTGGCAGCCCCTACACGCTATGAGCGTCCGTCGCCGGCCAGCGCCGCGGCGCCAGCCGTTCGGCCTGTTCTGAAAGAACCAGAGCCCCGGGAGCGCGATGCCGCTGTTGCCGCCCGCCTGCTCGACCTCCGAGCACAACCCTGCCGGCCTGCCAGGCGAGCGCATTACACTGTCCTCAGCGCACAATCGCACGGCTGCATCCCCGCCGCATCTACGCCCCCCTCGGCCCCATGAAAGTCACTTGCCCACTCCCGACCCTCGCCTCACGCCCTGCAAAGGCGCCGACGGCGTTCCCTGGGTCGCCGCGTTCCTGGGCGCCTTTGCCGCCGCGGCCCTCACCGCCGCCGTCACGGCGCGCGCGCACCGCGCCCACACGCGGCGGCACGTGGCGGCCGCGGTGCGGGGCGCTCTTCAAGGGTACTCCCCCCTCCCCAGCGGCCCGCCCTCGACCTTTTCCGGCGGCTGCATCGGCGGCGGCGGCGGCGGCTCGAGCGGCGGCCGCACGCCCCGCGACGGCGGCGGCGGCGGCGGCAGCGGCAGCGGCAGCGACGCCGGCCCAAGGGCGGGGCGCAACTCTGTGGCGAGCGGCGCGCTCACGCCATCCTCATGGATTTCCAGCTTGTCGATCGAATAGCACAGGCGGGGGTGCGCGGTGTGTGGTGCGTGGTGCGTGTGCGTTCTGATCCGACGTACGCTGAAGCACACCTGCAGCTGTGGTTGCACCCGGCAACTGAGTCGAGTGTACCGGGCGGCCTCTGAATTGGCAAGTTCACGGACGTTGGCCCTGCAGGGAAAGGGCTACGCCCTGGTTCAGGCTTGGGGGCGCCCAGGCAGCACGCTCCCTTGTGTGCGCCCTGCTCGTGCGAGTGCTGTCACCAGCACGGTGGCTGGGCTCAAGGGCGCTGCGTGCGCGGCCCCCCTACAAATAATTTAGATTTCGTGCTGTGCCAAGCACATATGTGGGCAGTACGGTATTGTGGGTGCTTCCTCCTGGGTACCTGGGGCTGAACTGTGCGGCCCTGCTTTGCCGTAATTTGAACAGGCTGGACTTTGACTGCAGCAGCTCGCAATGTTGCACGTATAGCCGACTGGAGCCTCTCGGATTTGCTGTCCGCCCAGCAGCTGTTGAGCCTGCTCTGGCTATGAGTTTTGACTTAGTCAAGCCTTGTGGGCTTCTTTCGCCCAGTTCCTAGGCCGACCTGTCCGCCATGTCACGCCTCACCAGACCACCCGCGCGCCCGGCCACCACGCTGTCAGCACAGGCGTGCGCATCATTGGCGTCGTTTCGTTGTTACTATTTATTTGTTGCGCCCCGCATGCAAGCCGCGGCCGCAGCTCGTACGCATCCCTGCAAGTGTGGCCTTCGCAACAGCATTTGTACCTGCCAACACGCCTCACGTGCGCACGCCACCCCCGCCACCACCGTCACCACTCATTCTTCCCGGGAATAAACAGCCCAAGCAAGGCGCTGCACGCGTTCCACCTGTCCAGTGGTCCTCGTTGCTGAGCACGCGCGTTGACTGCAGCCGCCAGTCGCCAGCACATGCACGCATCCCTGCATCTTTTTGCCACTGCGACTGCACCCCACTTCATGCTTGGCAGATGGCAGGTTTTCGGGGTTTTGCCTTCTGGCTGTGCTGGCTGACGGCTGTACCCGCCTGCTGCACGCGTCACAAAGGCCTCGCGTTTTGCGGAATACTTATACATATTTGGGTACTTGCTTGGTGGTGCTGCCATCCAGATTCAGCATGCAGCCAAACGATCCCCCCCTGCCTGCTGTCGAGGATGGGTCCCGAACGGCAGCATGTTGGCGGTGAAAATGAATTTCAAACCCCAGGGTGTACTTGAGATGCGGCTCTTTCCACGTAATATGGCGGCGGTTGTCTAATTGTAAGCGCCGAAATGCTGACGCGCAAACGAAGCAGACGGGGCGCACGAGCGCAGATCAAAACGCCGCTGCCTCGGGAGCTCCAAGCAACGCAGCTTGCACACCAGCACGCGCCCTCTGAAGACAGTAGCTTGCAGGGGGTGCTGCCCGTCTCTCCCAACCCCCGCTCGCCCCCTCAAAATTCGTCGTCGTCTTCGTCATCCCCATCAAGGCCCGGCCGCCCCCCCGCAAAGAAGCCGGCGCCTGGCCCCGCCGCGGCCGCCGCACCCGCCGCGCCGCCGCCTACCCTCAGGCTCTCAGCCAAGTACTCGCTGCCGTCGTCGCTGCCATCGCCATCGCCGCTGCTGCCGCCGCCGCGCCCGGACGACTCAGACGCACCGCTGTCCTCAATCCGCAGCTCCTCCGAGCCGCGCAGGCCGGCAGCGGCAGCAGTCGGGCGGCCGCCGGTGCTGGGCCCAGGCGCGGGTGCGGGCGCGGCGGCGGGGCGCAGGACCGTGAAGAGCTGCGACGACTCCTCGTCCTGCCAGGGGGAAGGGGGGCGGCACTGGCGGTTGCAGCTTCTGGCATGCAATGCAGCGTGAACATCGCGGGGTGCACATTGCTCGCGCGTGCGCGGACTGACGCCGAACCAAACGCCGTTCGGAGACGAGGCTTGGCTTGTGGTCATGTCACAATACTACACGAATGCGTCACCCTGGAAGCGGCATGATGGGGGAGGCACGGAGAGGGCGGAAAGGGGCCGAGAAGGCGGAGCGCACCTGCACCTCGCTGGGCAGCTCCTCTGGCAGGTCGTCCTCAAAGCTGTCGTCTATGACACGCTCGATAGCATAAGCAGAGCCGCCGCCGCCGCCGCCCTCCTGCAGCTGCTGCGGCCGCTGCGGCTGCGGGCCCCGGGCGCCGGCGCCCCACGCAGCGGGGGGCGCGCCGCGGGCCTCGGTCTGCTGCGCCTGGCGCTGTGGCTGCGCGGCGCTCCCCGCGCTCCAAGGCGCCGCGGAGGGCTCGGGGATGTGCTGCTGCTGCGGGGAGCCAGCGCTCTCACCTGCGCGCCAGTCATTTTGCGGACGAGGTATCAAAGCAGAGGCTTTCAGCAAAGTTGGCTCGTGTCGCTGCGTACATCACAGCTGAGCAGCTTATCATCGCGCCTCAAAACACGCACATACAAGCGCGCACAAACACACGCACACACACACACACACACGCTCACACGTGGAGCGCGCTCAACTCTCTCCAAACCACAGCCGTTACGCCCGCTCACCTGCTGCAGGGCTGGCCCTGTCCGCCCCGGCAATCTCCGTGGCCGCCTGCGCCCTGTGCTGTGCGGCCGGCAGCGGCGCCAGCCTCCGTGCGGGTTGCAGCGGCACTAAATGTAGCGGCAGGTGCCGGGAAGTCGGGCTGGCGCCCTCTGACGGTTCCCGGCTGCCTTGGCTGTGCGCACCAGGCGAAGGCGAGTCGTCGCTGAATAATCGGTGCGCGTCCCCCGGCCCGTCCGAGCCCGGAGGGCTCAGCGGCGGCGCCATGCCGGCGCCGGCCGCGGCGGCGCTGGCGGCGCTGCTGCGCAGGTTGGAGGCTGCTGTGTCAGCAGTCGGGCCCGGGCTGAGCCCAGGAAGGGCTGGCGCGTCAAAACTGTCATCGCTTGGCGTCCCTGGGTCGCCGCCGCCGCTGCCTGAAGGCATTTCGTCCTCGCTGCCGCGGGCAAACAGCCGCCGCCGCTGCTGGTCATCCTGCTGTTGTTGCTGCTGCCGCCGCTGCTGCTGCTGCTGCTGGCCCCACCGCCACTGCTGCTCCTGCTCCTGCTCCTGCTCATCCTGCTGCTCCTCACTTCCTTCAGCACTGCTCTTGCCGCCACCCCCTCCGTGGCCACGCTCAGCTGCGATCAGGCCCCCGCCGCCGCCTTCCCCGCCATTGTCTGCCGCCGCCGCGCCTTCCCGCGCGCGGGGCAGCAGCGGCGGTGCGTCTGCCGCCGCGGCGCTGCCCAGCTGCTCAGCTGAACTCACCAGCGGCTGTACAGGGGCGCCTATCCCCGCGCCTAGCGCACCTAGTGGGAGCTTGAGCCCTGGGCCCGTCCCCGCCGGACCACGCCGCTGGGGCCCGACATCGCCCTTCGATTCTTGCCGTCCGGCCTGCGCCTGCAGCTGCTGCCCTTGCATCGCTGCATTGAGCAGCAACAGCAGCAGCGGTTGGTCCTCGCCGTCCGCCGCCGGCAGGCCCTGTGCGCCAGGGGGAGGCGTAGGCCGGCTCAGCCCACCGAAAAGGGCGCCGATTCCGCATGCATGTTTGCTCCATCCGGGCACGCTGCTGCGCAAATCGGCGGCTATCGCGCGCGTGGCGAGGGCGCACCAGGTCTGCCGCCAGCTGCCGCCGCTGCTTCGGGTGCGCGGCCTCGCGGCGTGCCTCGGCTTCAAAGACCCGCGCGGTGAAGCGCAGGTCCGCCCACCCCATGAACTCCTGCACCAGGTCCAGCAGCACGCCGCCTGGGTGTTTGGTAGGGGTTCGATATATAGGGCGAAGGCGGCGTGGCGCAGCGCGGCATGGTGTGGTGTGGGGTTGGAAGGGCGCTCGTGAGCGGTGACCCAGTGGTGTGCGGCGCGCTGGCGGGTTGCGGATGTCGCGCTGGCCAGGCTCACCTTCTCGGGAGGCAGCGAGGGCGTCGCGCCGGCTGGTGTCGCTCCTGGCTGCGATGCCTGTGGGATACATAGAACATTTGAGTTGATTCGCAGTTGCGCATCGTGCTGCATCTATGCCCACACAGTGACAGAGGGTCCGGTTGCGCGAGACGGCTCATGCAGGCCCAGCAGTAAACACATGCGCCACCGCAGCCCACCTGCATCGCCCTGCCTTTTGTCCTGCTCGTCCACCGCCAGAAAAACGTTTGCACGGAGCTCAGCCTGGAGTATGGCGAGCACGAGTATGATACCGGTAGCAGTGATGTGTGCGAAGGGAGCAGGTCTGGGACAGCAGCACCAGCTCGGCGGTGCATCGTAGGCCTTGCGGGCGCTGCTCACCTTGAGGCGGGCCAGCACGCCTTTCTGATCCAGGGCACACGTGATTATCTGCGAGCATTCATGAGGCAGCAGGCCGCTGGGCACCAGATCGTGACAGAACGAAGCGCGCTCTCAATCCAGTCCTGGCGTCGCGGAGGCCGGACCAGCCATAATCCCACCTCCTTGAGCTCCTCCATCTTCCAGTCTGTCGTGATGTCTGGGCAGTGTGTCCGCCAGATCGCTGCAGCTGTCAGATCTTATGTTTGCATGGCTCCGTTCCGCTATCAAACAGTAGTCGACGCTGAAATGTCCTGGCTGCGAGCCACGGACGGAATTGGCTTGGCAGGCTGCCGGCGTGTGGATTACCGTACATATGCAGCATCGTGGGCACAACCAGGTCACTACCTGGTCACCACCGCGTTTCGAGAAACGCAGGGAACTGACAAGGTTGCAAGCCGACCCACCGTTGGCATGCTGATGATGTGATGTACACGCCACTCGTATGCTGAGCACCCTGTGTACCTCTAAATTCACAGCTTGCGGTACCAAAGGCGGTTCGGAGGTGGCCGGTCCCGCTGCGAGTGCCCATACAGAGTCTGGACGGTTACTCTTCGCTGTGTGCCACAGCAGGACAGAACAACACCTCTGCGATCACTCGCACCCCGCGCCGTGCCTTTGGCTGCTGCAGCACCGGCGCCTCGCGCGCGACGCACCGGGCCTCGAGAGGCGGGTCTCGCCGCAACAGCACCGGCCGTAGCAGCGCGAGCGCCTGCAGCACAAACGGCAGCTGCGAATGCAGCAGCGCAAGGATAATCGACACGCCGTCCGCGCCGCCGCCACGACCGCCGCTGCCGGTACCGCCGCCGTTTTCAGGCGCGAGCGCGGCGTCGAGGGCGCCCGCGAGCTGCGACGCCAGCTGCAGCGACTGCTCCGACGCGCCGCAGTCAACGGCCTCCTGCTGACGCCACGACGCCGTGGGCAAGCTGCCGTCCTTGCTGAGCAGCGCGTCGAGCCTCCTGGGGGGCGCGCCCGCCAGACACAGTTGGACGACCAAGTCGCCCTGCGAGGGCGCGCCGTCGCCGCCGCCACGGCCGCCGCTGCTGCTGCTGCTCCTGCTGCTGCTGCTACTTATGATGGACATGGTAGAAGCGCCAGCAGCCGCGTCCGCGCGCCCTGCCGTCTTGCCCGCGGCGCCGGCGAATCGCACGTCAAAGGCTGCCACACGGCCGCGCCGCCGCAGGGCAGAGGTTGCAATCGCTGTTGCCTGCAGCGCCCTCGCGGCTTCCGACGACCCAACCAAGAGTCGACAGGCGCCGCCGCTCAACAGCTCGTTCGCAATTTGGTCGGCCAGCTCTTGTGCACTGTCTCGTGCCAGCAGGCGCGCCTGCTGCCTGGCCTCTGCGCCGCTGGGAAACGTCGGGCCAGGGCCCTGCCCAGCTGCTGTGGCCGCAGCAGCCGCGAGCGCCGCGGGAGAGACGGCTGCGGGCAGGGCCGCGTGTGGCGTCGTGCAGTCTGCTGCCTGCTGATCCTGATGCTGCCTGTGAGCGGGCCGCTGCCGCTGGCGTGGCGGCACCCATGCCCCCAGTTCTTCCGTTGATGCCTCGGTGCGCTCGCCGGCTGCAGCGCTGTCAAGGGGGAACGAGCGAGCGTGCATACGCATCGAAGGTGAGTTGTGTGTTGATGGGTGCCACTCACGGACGTTGTTTGGTGGCATGCTGCTGCAGGGATGCACCTGCACACCTGAGGGCTTGTGATCGCGTCGACGCCGAGGGGCGGCACGAGCACTGGTGCGCATCCCGTCGCGCTCGCCGCAGCGCCCTGACCACATGCGACGTGCTGGCCCCGAGGTGCGAAAATGCGCGCTCCTCGAGCGCCTGCATGCTTCCGCGGTCAGGCTAAGAAACAGGATTCGTCTTCTTGACAGAATATGATCAAGCGTCAGCGGCAGAGCCGATTTCGATCAGATGATATTACAGAACCAATGTGCGTAGTCAACACGGCCAAGCGTCAGATCCACGCTCATCTTGCTGACCGTGGTGTCGGGTGGCCCCCACTCGAGTGCCGCCAAGCGCCGCCATCAGACCAGCTGGTGCAACAGCTGTGAAAGGATCCCTCGCATGCACGGAAATCTCAAATATGGATCCCATAGGTGCTGGCGCGGCGACGTGAGGTATACATACATATGCGAGCTGCAAGCATCATGCTCCATTCCAGTCATTTGTCGTCTTGGATCAGGCTGTTGGATGCGGTTGCTGTACACATGCCCGCGCCACTGCATGTGCCACCCACTTTTGATTGCCGGAAGCAGTGACGCACAACTATAAAGCGTCAGGTGTTCAGGGGGGGGCCAACAAGTTTTGAATCTTGCAACGCATGAAAAAACCCGCCTGCAAGGGAGCCAATGGTGTCGGGGCTCCAACGGCAAGCGCCGGCAGCAGGTGGTACAGGTAGTGGTGATGGTGGCTGTGCCGCAGTTTTTGCGACGGACTGCCGCCGCCGCCGCTGCTGCCCGCATCCGGCATTGCAACCAGGTCCTGCTGGACATCAAGGCAATGCAGAGCAATGATGCCAGAGCAAACATGCGTGTGTATAATCCAACAGCACCATTTGCCCAAGCAATCAAGTGTACCTGAACATGTTTTTTCCAGAGATCACCGGTAACAAAGTTGTGGGATGCTACGCACGACACGCGCAACGCCGACGTGGGGACCAGCAGGTCCATGACTCCAGCCCATCTCGTGCTGCGTAGATACTGCCGAGCAGCATCGGCGCAGCACCTCTACATCTGTACCGTCCCTGACTGCAGGTGGCGGTCCCTGAAAAGGCGCGTTGGTTTTCGTCACCCGGGCGGGTGTCGCAGTCATGGCCACCTTCAGCTAGGTTTGTCGATTGCAAAGTGAAAAAATAACCCCAAAAACCACCAAAAACCTCGAATAACCTCATAGAAACATCGGATAACGCTTGAAAGCGCATGAAAAAGCCTTTGGTATACGCGGCTGAGCGCTCTACAGATCACCACATCTGGCCGCTCGCTAGCTCTTTCGCGATCTGACGGGCCGGTTGCAGTGCGGCGGAGACGCTTGAATGCATATTATATGTATACATGCATGATTGACACGGATCCAGGGCAAGAGGTCGACGGTGCAGGCTGGGTGATGGCCCGGCACCTGACAGAGTGCACTGCGCTGGGCGGAATCCGCGTATGTATGTGGGGAGCCCTGGAACAGCCTTATCAAGCTTTTCTATGTTTTTTTGGTTTTTGAGGTTCTGTACGTTTGCACTTTGCATTCGGCAAACCTAGCTGAAGGTGGCCACAAAAGAGTCTGACCTCTGCAGATCATCATCGTGCCCAGATGTCATGAGCAAACAATTGATACTCTTTCCATTACATGAACCTTCATCAATGGCTTGTGCATGTCTAGGCACGGGGACGTGATGAAGGGAGGGCCTCTCCCCTGGGTAGGCTCTCGTGTTTGCGCACAATCGCGCCCCGAAGCCTTTGCTGAGCAAGGTTCTTTTGACATCGCACGATGCAACTCATTCGTTGACAGACGTGGCCTTGGTTCAGCCCGCGCCTGGGTCGCGGAGCTTCATTAGGTGAGATGCGATAATAGGATGTAAATACGACAAAGTATATTCGTGAGCTCTGAAGTGCGCTGGCACGCCCTGGAGCATGGGACCCCCCGCTGTGCGGCGCCATTGCGAGCGCACTCGCCGCTTCGCATTGCATACAGTCTGGGCCTGGCGCATGGAAAGAGAACCACATACCAGAGCCGCTCACCCCTGGCTACACGCGCTATACGCAGCCCCGTGCGGTCCTCATGGCCACGGGCGCCCACTTCACCGGTGATGCCCTTTCAGCCGGCTCGCAGCACATGGTGCACCGCGGCGCTGCAGCCTCGGGCGAGCTCGTCGACCTGTCTCAAAGCCAGCACAATCCAGGACAAGACCCCTGCGAGCACCATCAGCACCAGCAGCACCAGCTGCAGCAGCCACAGCTGCAGCAGGTCGACCAGCAGGCCCCATGCGGCCTTCACCACCGCGGTCGGGCGTCCTGGCACGGGGCCGAACTGGAAGACGTGCGGCCGCCGCTCGACGCCCTCAGCCTGGAGCACTGGGGGCCCCTCGGCCTAGAACCTCACGAGCTGTCGCTGCTGACGGGCGGCGGCGCCGCCGCCGGCAGCCGTGGCGCCCAGCAGCAGCGGGAGCAGCAACAGCTGCAGCAGGAGCAGAAGCGGCAGCAGGTGGGGCCGGAAGGGCACTTTTTCCTGGATGGCGCGCCTTCAGACCATCTGCCCAGCGGCCTGGACGTGCCGCCGCCGCCCCCCGAGCCGCAGCCTCCGCTGGCGGCGGATCGCGATTCGCTTGAGGACCCGCATCGGCTCGCACAACACAGCATGTCCGCGCACCGCGGCGACAGCGGCCCAGCTCACCTCGACACCGGAGTCGCTGCTGCAGCAGCGAACGAGCGGCCTGGCCCGAGCAAGGAGGGGTCGGGGGCAACGCTCGACCTCGATGCAGGCGCAGAGGGACAGGCAGACGGTGGCAGCGGGCAGGAGCAGCAGGAGCATGATCATGAGCATGAGGGGGCGCCAGCGCTGCAGCTTGGGTTGGAGCTGGAGTCTGAGCTGGAGCAGCAGCGGGCGCAGCAGCGGGCGCAGCAGCGGGAGCAGCGGCAGGAGCAGCAGCAAAAGCAGCAGGAGCTCCTAAAAGTGCATGCAGGCCTTGAAAGCCAGGAGCGCTTGACAGTCGGGGCGCCGTTGCCTGAGCACGATGCGGGCTCCGACCTGGATCTGGGCCGACCGCAGCAATGGCCGCAGCCGCCGCCTGCGCTGCCGGGGCCGCAGCTGCCCACGAAGCCGCGCCCCATCGACCGCACCAATCCTGAGGGCGGCGCAAGGTCAGATCGGGTTGCGAGGCTGGTCAGCAGCTTTGCTGCACGCGTGGCCACAAACGGAGAGGCCAGCCTGGGTGGCAGCCCCGCCGCGCCGCCGACACTAGGCGTCCGCCGCGCCAGCGAAGAGCCCAAGGAACACTCACCCAAGCCGCGCGCGGCCGAGGCAGTGCCGCTGCAGGGGCGACTCGGGCCGCGGCAGGAGGGGGGCCGCGGGAGCAGCAACAACGGCAGCGCAGCTGGCAGCGCCGGGGGCGGCAGTGATGGTGGCAGCATAAGCGTGCATGATTTTGATGCTCGTGCATGCATGACAGCGTCGGCCGCAGCCACTAGCTGGCACAGCGCGGTAGGCAGTACGCTCAGCAGCAGCGCGCAGAGCACGCACGCCTCATCCGGGGCACCGGATGCGGGCGCGTCGCGCGCTTTCTTTGCGGCGGCGCAGGGGCGTTGGCAGCAGCAGCTGCCGCAACATATGCAGGTGCTAACGGCGCAAAAGTGGCAGCAGCCAGCGCTGGGCCGCCCACTTGCGCCGCACGGGATGGAGGAGCCAGCCGTGACACCGGCGCAGCTGCAGCAGGAGCAGCAGCAGCAGGAGCAGGAGCAGGGGGGGCAGCAGCAGCAGCAGGAGCAGCAGCACCAGCACCAGCAGCACCAGCAGCACCAGCAGCAGCAGGAGCAGCAGGAGCAGCAGCAGCAGCCGACTGAGCAGCCAAAGCTTGAGGCGCTGCCATCTGCAGGCGGCTGCAGGGTTGGCAGCAGCAGCAGCAGCAGTCACAGCCGGGCCGGCAGCGGCAGCAGTGTCAGTAGCGGCAGGGGTAGCGACACTGTCTTGCATACCCTGAAGC